AGTCCTATTTGACTGCTAGGTCTTTTGCTTCATAATTTAATTTCTTGTAGCTATGCATGTTCTGCCACTGTCTATCAAAATGGGCAGGTGTGTGCAGTCCTGCAGTTCAGGGTTAAATGCTTGTTTTACATAACTAGAGCGTAACCTTGGGAATTAATCTCGTTACTTACTAAGGCAAGAAGGTAACCGCATTTACCTTCTGGTAACTTTTCTGGCTTTCCCACATTTTCTGTCCCAACCAGGAAAGCATGGAGCTCTCTGGGAAAGCACTGGGCTCTTGCATGTTCATCATAAGAAAAATGAGTGATGTTTCATCAATTACGCGTTGCCGTTTTATAATAGGCTAGTTTTTCCAAGCAAATTTTTAAAAATGCTGTTTGTAAAAAATGTTCTTCCATATTTCACATCTCATTGTATTTCAGATCTTGATGACCCTTTTTAAAGCCTTATATACTAGAATTTAAGTAAAGAGTTCTCATTAAAAGTGGAAATAAACTTGAGAGGTTGTGCCACAGGAGTGTGCATTTAGAGAGGATCTTTGGCTGGGTATCCAGTCTCCATTGGGCTTGAAGTAGAGAATAAATAAACTTGGGGAATAAGTTCCTTGTTCATTTTTACTTCTGATTGTAAGTAATTTAAAAAAGAGATTCACTATATCATTTCTGTTCCCTTTACTCAATCTACACAATTGCGCAGTTGTTCTTGATCCTACATTTGATCCAAGGCTTGTGGGCTCTTCAGTTTAATTTGTAATTTGTCCATTAATTAAGAGGGAGAAAATGTAGTGTGATGGGTGGAGCTGGGGACCAGGAATCAAAGCTTCTGAGTTCTTGCTGGCTCTGTTCCTGACCTGAGGAAAGTTACTTACACCTTCTGGCTCATATTGTCTCTGGGATTCTCAATATAATTATATTTAAATGCCCCCAAGCAATGATATGAAGGCTGATAATAGCAAGATAGAAAGCAGTTCCTTTCACAAGCTCCACAGAGATGTTCAGTTGCGGGTTTCAGGTCAAGTCCCCTTTAGGCTCTACCACTATGTGGCTCATATAATTGTGGAAGAACATGGAGGGGGAGGTCTATTGTGTGCTTCTTTATGAGGAAAACGTTCAACTGCTCTTTAACTAAGAATGATTTAGCATGATTTAGCGATGAAGACAGAAAGGACTGGCTTGGTTTCTGCAGTAACGCGTGTGTGCACCTGGGGCAGGAAGGAAAGTCCCTTGCACTATGGATGCCAGAGCATTTGTGGTCATTCACTGAGGAGAGGGAACGTCAGTGCCCACCCTGCTGAAACCTGGCACCTTTACTGTCCTTGCACTTCATTTTTACCTGGAGCTCCTTAAAAAACAAAAATCAAATTTAAAAAAAAAAAAAAAAAAAAAGAAAAAAACCCTTTGTAAGAACAAAGAAACCAGAGGAATAAATAACCACTAGGAGATTCCCAGCACATCCCTTTCTGAAGGTTACAGGAAATTCCTTTTGTTAGAGGAAAGGCTGAAAATCAGGAGGAGCCCAGAAGAGGGACTAGCAGGAGACAGCTGAGATCATTTTTCACTACTAGGACTGCGCTGTGTTGTCTCTCCTTTTACAACTCATTGGCAGGCATTATTACCTGGTGAAAAAATTTGTTTTGCAACTCATCCTGAGTCCTCATAAATCATTAATGCCTGGCTAGGCACAGTGTGAGCATTACAAATACTCTGAGAATAAGGGCCCATTCTGATATAACCTTGTGTCCAATACTAATGCCTGCTAGTTATTTAGTAATACAAAGGAGCCTCCGCGAGGAAGATCGATGAATCAATGCAGTCTCCTGACTTCCTTCTCCTCTCCACCTGCCTCTTCTCTTTCTAGTTCAGAAACTGAGCTACAAAAAACAGGACTGTTGGTAGTCATCTCTCTGTGGAGAGCCCTAGAACAAGGCAGGGGCACAAGGAGGGAATTACGGCCTCCGAATGTCTATAGGAAAAAGAGGAGCTTCGCTTTCTGATTAGGGCTTGTTCTGATTTCTGGGGTTTTATGAGCTAAATTGCACGACTGCTCTAGACCTGTGTTTTCCGGTTTGCATCCCTTAATGAATGCACAGAGTATAAAGCACACTGAAGTGTGTCAAGAGCACAGAGAGAAACTGTGCCCAGGAACCACAGGACCAGCTGTAATTAAAGGGTGCTCAGTAAAGTCCGAGTAATCAGCCAATTACCTGGGGGAGCCGTTTGGGGACTTGGATGCTCAAAGCAGCTCTCACAATGCTGGAGATAGCACAGAGAGCTCAACATCTATAGCTGTGGTGGCTGAACTTCGTGTCTTGTTATTTGGCAATCTTGGCCACAGTCATGAGTTCAAGGATGGTCTTTATTGTCCTGCTTACCCTGAGCTCACCTCCGAAAACCCCCAGCCTATTCAGAGTACAGCTAAACTCTGTTTCCTCTTCTGGAACACAAGATGCATCTATACAGTTGCTGTTCGTAGTTGTGCCCTTTGAACACTAGAATAATTAATCATGAGCTTTAAAAGGAGGAAGTGGAATGAGGCAAGATGGAAGTTGGCCCCTGTGTTAAGCGTATTCTTAAACTTGTATGACTGAGTCTTGGTTGGAGCCCTTGTCGTGAAAGGCTTCTGCAAGGAAGGTTGTAAAGCCACAGAAACTGAAGAAAAAGATCTTGAATAGGAACTTAGGAAAAGTGCAAATGGGGATGGAGGACAATATTTGGGCAAATTTGAAAAGGGGAATGACAGAAAACAAAAGTGAAATTAAGTAGAGGGTAAGAGAGTATCAGAAAGTTTAGAGGGAAAAGTAGCTGTCTTTAAGGCATGAAATGACAGAAAATTGGTCAGGAGGAGAATGTAGTTGCTGTAAGTAAAAGTGGGAACATGGACCAAGACACACACACAAAAAAAGTCATTCGTATGTGAAAAGGGACAGAAAAACACTTCCTCAACAATCACCTCCAAAAATATGCAACTAAGAAAGCACCTGATGCTGCTGTTCCTGTGAAACCAGAGACCTTAGTCACTTCGCCCCTAAATGAGGCAGAACACCCCTTGTGTCCAGAGCATCCTTGGTCTCTAAGGCCTGAAGCATCATGGTCAAGTCAGACTTTAGGCATCACACCTCCAACAAAAGCCTGAAACTTTCCTGCAGAAGAGTGAACATTCAGATCTCGTTTTAAATTTTGCTCAAAATGAATGATTGTACTTCAGCTCAGATGAATTTGTTGAGAATAGTCCCTGCTATAGCACCGACAGGACAGAGTGGTTTATTTTCCCCTATTAGAGATCTGACACAAGCCTGCTGTTGTTTCTGTGCCCTCTCTAATGATCTGCTTGCTCTCTGGAGAGCACTGACCCATTTCAGCACAGAATAATTAGCCTTTCAGACACTACTGTGTTTCCATTAAATAGACATAAATGTGCAAGGTGACATTTATTTACTTAGGCCTGAAAAATGTGCACCACAGATGTTGGGGCTTGGGAGAACTTTAATTTCTTTTCATGCAGCAGTTGTATATTTGCATGCTTTCATGTTTAACCACTCGTGCTTCACTGAAACGACTCCTGTTGAGTTTCATTGGGGAAGAAGGAGAACACAAAGATTATTTGGGTCTTCATTTCACCGATAGGCCCTTTGGGGCAGCCCGGTGCCCAAGCCCAACAGTGGCATTAAACACAGTTATAGTTACATGCTCTTCAGGTCCCTTTTACTCTGTGTAAGAAGGAACTCCATGTAAAGAACTGTTGTTGATTTACAGATCTGTCTGAAGAGGAATGTGTTCAGGGTGTTACACTGAGAAAATGAGAACCTTGACCTATTGCAAACATAAAATAAAACCAAAATCCTTTAGTATTTAAAATCAGCTCTTTTATCATCTTGATCACTGGCTTCTGAACTGCCAGGCTAGTGCCCAGGTGAAAAGTATATTATTCATTTTGATAGCCACTTTGGTCTGCAAAGTTGGAGGAGAGTCTTGCCCTTAAAAGTCCAGCCAGTATATAAAACATGTAGGTTGCTTAGTAGTTCACATCCACACATGAAGACGTGGCATGCTATTATTTCATTCTGTTAGTACCGATAGGCTTTATAGAGGGAGGCATCATGCAAGGTAGGTGCTTTATTGCAGGATGGAAACACTTTCATAAGGTTATTTTAATCATTATGATTCTTTCATGATGTGTGAAAGTTGATTGTTGCTGTAAATGAAGCCATTGAAGGCTAAAAAATAAAAATGCTGTGATGGTAAAAATCCTTGGAGTGCAAAAAATGGGAATTGCTATAAAAGGCAGTAATTTATTCTCTGCATGAGATTATTTTTTATCATGAGGATGCTTTTAAGCTAATGCTGAAACATATACAATTGCAGTCTATATAGCTGAGGTATATTGCAAGATGCAGTGATAATTTGGCTAATTTTTTGTGCACTGTAATTTATATATTATTTAGAAGTATTATTTTATTCTGTTAACTGAGAGGCTTAACACGTTTTTACTATGCTAAGGATAAGTTATTTTTGCAGGTTTTGTGGTTTTATTATTTTGACCCATATCCAGTTCATATTGCATCATAATACCATATTTTTACTACTATTATTCTAGTATGTTCAAAACTTATTTGCATTTGGATAGAAATTCATTAGATGTTGATTTTTATTATAACAAATTATTTTAACTTTTCTGTGATAATGCATTCTCTGTGTTTCTGATTTGCTGATGCTGAAATATTTTGGTTTTGTTTTTAACCTTTACAAATTTAGGATTGTTTTTGCTTTTTTTCTGTATATATATTTCAGTTGTTTAGACCTACTGGTTCCTGCTTTTTTCTTTTTCTTATTTTAATATGTTATGTTCGTAACTTCTGTCTGTGTTGAGCCAATCTTACCGACAAAAATATCAGTTGTTTCCTGTTTCTCTACTTCTTTACAAAAAAAAATTTAAATAAAAAGTAAAAATAAAAAACTCTTAATGGGAACCCTGGCACTGTCTGTCTTCTCTGTTCTGCAGAAATGTTGAAGGAGTTGAACCAGCAACGCAGAGCGAAAGAGTTTACAGACCTGAAAATTATTGTTGAAGGCAAAGAGTTTGAAGTCCACCAAAATGTTCTAGCTTCCTGCAGCTTGTATTTCAAGGACCTGATTAAAAGGTTTGCCTTCCTTCCAGCTGTGATCTGCTCTGTTCTTTTGTAGGGCGCATTTGTGTCGCTTTTTTTTTCCTCCCCTCTCTTGCAGGTTTATGAAGATTGAATCTCCTGTCACAGAGCCAGTAGCCATTCTTTCCACCTCCTCTGAATGTATTTCCAAACTGAGACTCAGACCCATTTGTTACACATCTGACTCGTACAGTGTAATTATTTCTGATCAGTAGAGGCTGGTTTTGGCCGAAGAAAGTGTTCCTCCACTGAGAGATCTAAGTTTTAAACACAATTGCTAATGGTGATTCAGACCACAACTAAAAACCATTGCTGTTGATGTTTTCAAGGGACTCTGTCACATAATGACAAAAGTTTGTCCTTTGGGCTACAATAAGCCATCAGTGTTCTGGTGAACAATGCTGAGACACCATGCTAATAAAGCGTTCGAGTATCGTAATCCCTTCACCCTGAAATCTATGTTAAATGCTTTTGTGTATGGGATTGATATTTTTATTATTTGGGGACTTTTAAAAGAAGAAAAGACAACTGCTGAATTTCTCTAGAAAAGACTGGAAACAAGATGATTTTCTGGTCAAAAGACAGCTTGGTCTGCATGTTAGACTAAGGGTAGTTTTTTCCTACAAACACTCTAGCTTAGAGTAGGTACAATATGTACATTTTTTAAACATCATGTCTCCACCTTCGCATTTTCCCCCCTCTGTTTCTAGCTGATTGATTCTAAACAGTGCATGATAATCTTTTTTTTCCATTACATTGATTTTTCAATTTGTATGCTTCATATACTCGCATAGGAATAAATTGGTACTCTCGTATTATTAGTAAGTTAGAGTAGCAAGTAGGGAGAAAAAAACCATGAGGATAACTTTCATTTTTCTCTCAATCATCAGCAAATTAATGCAGCTGCTGATTTTGCCTTGCAGTATTTTCCTGAGCAGACTGAGCCTGGACTGTGCTAAAAAATGGGATTAAAGAACATTTTGCTTGCTTCAAATCCTGTGTTTAAATTTTGCCAACTAACACAATAGTGACTGTATTTTATTTCAGGATGGCATATTGGCTGGTATCTCCTTTCAGTGTATTGTGTCCTTTTGCACAAAGCTGGTTTTATAATTAAGGATATATATTACATTTCTATGATATAACTGTGCTGACTGCCTTATCAATTATTCATAAAAAATATGTTGGCCTAGGAAGCATGTCTTTTCCCCTCTGTAAATCTAATGATTGCTAGCTGTAGCTATGCCAGATCTCTCCTGTCCTTTCTCTTCTGTCTGCTCATTATCATTTAATTGTTAAGGCTACAGTATATTCTTAGGATATATATTACATTTCTATGATATAACTGTGCTGACTGCCTTATCAATTATTCATAAAAAATATGTTGGCCTAGGAAGCATGTCTTTTCCCCTCTGTAAATCTAATGATTGCTAGCTGTAGCTATGCCAGATCTCTCCTGTCCTTTCTCTTCTGTCTGCTCATTATCATTTAATTGTTAAGGCTACAGTATATTCTTTTTAGGGTGATAAGGAGTAGAGTCTATAGGGAATAAAGAAAATCTTAGAATCAGCTTACTCAAATCAAATAACTGACTGGCCAAAGACTGTCTTTTGGATTTTGCTGTGAAGACATCTGTTTGTGTGCGGAAGTCACCAGGCAGCATCTGCTTCTAGAAGCGCACTGAGGAATGTTGCTGCTTTATTATTCAGTTATCAAATGGAGATATACTTTAGATTGAACACTGCTCTGATATGAACTCATTTTAAACAAACAAACAAAGAACCCCTTTTTTAAATGCTCTGAAAAGAGACTATGAAAGCAAAATCCTAGATTTCAGCGTTTATTGTCTTTCAGCTGCTCACACAGGCTCACATAGGGTACAAGAGAAAAATAGTGCAAGGTTTAGCCCATTTTCCAACCTCACCACTTTTTGCCTTCTTTCACATCATCAGCAGCAATAAATATTCCAGCGGTCGATTTGTGTCCAGAGTCAGGTCTCTCCATCCCAATTGTCTTCCATATATAACCTCAGTGGCACACGTAACCTTGATGAAGCTAATGGAGTTGCACAGGTGTATCCAAGGCAAAAATACCTTTATTACTGATGATGATGCTTGAATAGGGAAAAATCCAGCTTGATGTCTAGTTGAGTTTGCAAAACTGTCAGGTGAGAAAAATAAATATTCACCTGTAAACTGAGCAAATGTGTGTTTACAAGACAATAAACTCATGGCTATGGGGTAGAATTTCTAAAGACTTACTTTTTAGGAGATACTTGCAGTGTAAAGCCTGGTCCTTCTAGAAACCCCATAAAGTCAATGAAGGTCAAGGACTCAAGCTGCAAGAGGTACTCAGTGTTTTGTAGGATCATGCTCTTAATAATACAAAATCATTATAGTTCACAGAGTCAGTATGTTTATAAATACATCTATAATCCTCTCCTGATATTTGTTAGCATCTCCTTTGAGATGGTACTTTAAGCTTCATGTGATTTTTATCTTTGTATTATTATAGAAATCTAAACAAGAAATTGAACACCAGAGAAGATCTCTATGTTAAAGTGTAATATAAAGGGCATTTAAGTCAGTGCATGCTAGGGTTAAACTCTAATGCCATTCCACCTGAAGGCACTAATAGGTCACCAGAAATGTCAATGAGAAGATGATCTATTCATAAAGGTGCCATGTGCCTCCATATAAACATGCACAAAAAGAATATCTTTCAGAGTATTTACTTCAACTGTTCTTTGCCACTGGCTAGTTCCTGTTAACTTCATGTTCTGCTGTTGATTGCACTGTGTGTTGGAGTTGGTTAAAAGTGAAATGTTCAAAAACAAATAAGGTTAATTATCGTCTCCTCAAAAAAACCAAAATGTAGACAAAAAGCATAATAGAACTAGAGTCATTGCCCATTTGAGGAAGGCTATTTGATGAGAATTAGTCATAGCAGGGAAAAAAATACGTTTGTATTGCACTGTAGTGAAAAGATTATAACCAGGTTTGATTGACCAAAACAATTCTAAAGTTATTCATTATTTATGAAACAAATTTGGTAATGAGAGCGCACTTTGAGAAACCCATAGATTCTCAGAAAATGGTTAATCCTGCGGTGTGCTGAGCATGCTGGTCCTCATCCAGAAAAGTTCTTGTTCAATGTGATTTATCTTCTAAACACAAGAGCATGGCCCATTTGAGGTTGGGTTAGTCCCTTCCTGAGCCTAAGCCCAGCACCGTACCAAGCACTGCACTGTTGGAAACTGGTTAACTAGTCCCCACCAGGAGCTGCGCAGCACTTGAGCCCAAGCCAGGACTCAACGTTCATCTCCCTCCCATCAGCAGATGACCATAAAAACCACTCTTAGTCTTTCTTCAGTGAAAAGGACTGAAATCCTTTCATCTGAAAAGGATTAGGTGTACTGGGAACAGCAGGTGTGAAATGTTCTGATGTCTGTTCCACTTTACTCTGCCCACGAAGGGAGGAAAGTGAGGTGCAGGGGAGGGATGGAGATGTGTGAAGATGGGGGCATGCCCAAGGCTGGGCCCGCAGTAGAACACACTGCAGCAATCTCAGGAGTGATTTTAAACAATGTTAAACATATTTGGGGAGCACTGGGGTTCCTTAAGTTTTCTTCATAAAATCCCCTTTAAAAAACTATTCATTTTTGTGGTGAATATTTGAGCCTAGTTTATGACAGAAATGGGGTTGAGTACTTGGCCTTACCACTTGCTCCTTCAGGCATCGAGCATATAGAGGAGCTGTTATACGTTACCTGAGAGCATATAGAGGAGGTGTTATGCGTTACCTACGCTTAGGGAAATCGCATAGTTAGTCAGCTTCTTCAAACTGGGATCCATGTGAGATTAATACAGTATAGGACCTGAAGAGAAAATGGGTGATAGATAGCAGCTGGAGCAGGGTTCTGTCCTCTAAATACCATCTGATGTATTTGGCTGGCACTGCTCACCACAGCTGTTTCTGGTCTGCTTGACTTTGGCCTCTAATTTCCACCTGTATTTTAGGTACTTGAGGAATCAGCCTTCCCAAAGCAAGGGCCTAGTTTATGGTACAGGCAATGAAGAGAAGCACCTTGAAGGCTTCCAGAAGGAGCTTCTTTTCCTGATTCAGGTATCCATGGGCAGGCAGGTAGGAGATCCCTCTGGAGTAATGAGAGGTGCTTGTCTCTCACTGTTAGTCAACTAATACTTAGGTCCAAGGTTGGTATCTAAGGCAGGTTTAGTCTCACCTCGCCTTCTAGACTACTGCTATAGTCTGCAGAGAGGGAGACAGACCTCTCCAGGAGGCAAGTCTTCTCACCATAAAATAGGTGTCCAAGGTAAGAGGAGAAGGAGGAGGCCATCCCTCTTTACTCTTAAAAAGAGAGATGAGGTGATCTGCCTGGACTATAAACTTGTGATGGGTGTTCCATTGCTTCCTTCAGGCATCCAGCCTAAGCTGCTTATCTGGGCTTCCTTAGCAGTCATGAGGGAAGAGGGGAATGTCCGTAGGGCAGTTCATCCTACCTTATGATAAATCGCGTGAAGTGCCTTCTGGAAGTGCTCATTTTTCATTGCCCAGCAAGAAAGGCCAGTCACCCAGCCTGAAGTGTAGCTGGCTAAAAGTATATGAATGATTCAGTCCAGAAACTAATGTTTATCTGAATGTCACGTACATATGCTTATAGATGTACACAGAAAGAAAGAAATAGATCAGGATCCATCAAAAAAAAAAAATCTCCAGAATGCCCCTCTTTCAGAGCGTAGATTTTCTTATTTAAACCATTCTTGGGTTGAGGGAGGAGAGAAATGAGCTCTGTGTCTTTGTATCTGCCTTAGTAGAAATGGTGTAAGATGTGTGTGTGTTCTGGAAGGAAGGAAGGAATGGAAAATCCCATGAAGAGGCATCATTTTTTTCCATCTGCATCTAGGGTAGACAAATACAGCTGCTGGATAAATGGAAAGTCTGCTATTTCCGTAACAAAGAGAGTTTCACCGGAA